TATATGCCTATAAGCCAGGAAAATGACAGCATAAAAACCTACTCACCTTGAAAAAATTTTTGAAATAGATTTTGAGCCAGAAAATTGGTTCTTTATTCATGCAACAAGACATGTTCAGATAGGAGGGTATCTAATCAATCTATTAACATAAGATATTGATTCCTGGCATTATCTATTTTGGTTATAAATCACTAAATAAAAGTAGCCAGGAAAATGGGCAGATTTTCATGGGACAAACAAACTATTGACAGAAAAAATTATTTTAAACGAAGTTTTAGTAAACAATACGCTCTGCGTATATTCTAGAAATGCTTACATAGGATAAGATTAAAAAAAAAAAAAAAATTTTGATTTTGAAAAATGTATGGGAAGTTTTGAAACTAGTTATTATTGGAAACATTGTTTGGGACATGCCAGGAAAATGACATTTTGATATTCAATTAAATTTTTTAAGTATACAAAACAGTCAAAGCTGTGCAAAGTCATTTTAAAATGCTAACAGCAATGCTATTTATTAATTTTTTTTAAAAAAAAAAGTTCGCTTAGTATTATAGTATTAGATCTTGGAGCAAGGGACTGTGAATTGTCATGTTTCGTAAGAATCACCCATATATATGTTTAAAAAAAAAAATTTTAATTTAATGTCTATTTCTCAATAAGCTTTAAACTTTATTGATATGTATGAGATTTAAAAAGTGATTCTTTAAGTACATTTTTAGAAATATCAAAGTATGTGTTAGTATCGAAGTCGAAGTGTTAACATTATTTTGTCTAACCCATGTGTATGTATGTATATATATATATATATTTACATTTAAGGTGAATTAGTAGGTAAAAAAATATATATATTTTGTTAATTTCAAAATTTAATGTCATTTGAATTTCAATCAAGTGTTTTTAACGAGCTAAGAAATCAGTCGGAAAAAAAGTTTTTTAAATTCTGTTTAGTAATTCCTTTAAAAAAAAACTACCTCCAAAGTAAATCTGTTTTACACTTTCAAGATTTTTGTGATCACGCTTTATTATCCTTTAATGTTTCCTATTTGATTTATAAGTTATTAGATAATAAGTTTATTATCTAATAAATTATAAACCTAATTAGATAATAAGATTTTCAATGAATGAATAAATGTTCCTATTTGTAGCTATGTATGGCTCTGATGACTCTGATGATAATGAGGATGAAGGCCAAGGCCTGCCAACATCTCGCCAATAGCTGTTGAACACCTCAAGTCTAGTTTCTCAGTGCCATAGAACTTTTGAATTTTACTTGTTGGAAGTGCCTTTTGTGTGTACATAGCTTTGTAAATAATTCCAAAATATTTCCCATTGTATATATATTGTAAATAGCTATGCTGTTAATGACCAGCAAATTTTGAGCTTTGTTTTGTTATGGAAGGAGATGATTGTGTGCCTATGTTTATCTGAAAATAAATAATTTTTTTTATGACATTCAACTTTTTAATTCTGCTAATAGGATTACTTTTATGTATGCTTTAAATATATATATATATCTAATTGGGAACCAATGGTGTTGGGTAATTTCAAAAAGATTCTGGAATCTTTTCGTAATTCAAAATAAAAATTCAGTTCATTAAATTTTCATGTCTTCCATGCTTTGTTTAAATTGAACTGATTATAAATATAAATCATCTTTTGCTCAATTGGTAAAATAGAACTATTTTAAAAAGATCGAGCTCGGTAATTTATTTATTTATTTATTTTTTTTAATTATTTGAAAATGTGTTTGAAGTTGAAAAAATTATTTGTTTTATGTGGATCTAAAGTTCTCGTAAGAGCTAACGCGAAAGGTCAATTTTCCACTTGCGGAAATTGTGCTCTCGATCAGAAAAATGATTGGTTGATTCCTCTGAATGGCTTAGAAAAAAAATATTATTTGTTAATAAGTATAGCCTCAAACTGTTACAGTTATTAATAAGGGTTTTTAAAAAGCACTTCAAGGTGCTTGTTTTCATTTTTTTAAAAACCTTTAAAGGTGCTTTTTTCCTTGGGCGCTTTTAAAAAGTGCTTGATTTCTTTTTATTTGAAATAATATTTTTTTTACTATGTCAATTTTCGTTACTAATTATACAAAAAGCGTGGTTTTCACATTGTTCCTTTTAACATTTTCACAATTCATTTAACCACGATCCATTTCGGCAAGCTGTCGAATGAAAAGTCCCATTTATTTTACATGTTTGGAAAGAAAAAAAATTTTTTTCAGGCCCACATGTGCTTGCACTGAGCTGGTGCGGTGTAAAGGATTTTTGCACTCTCACATGCAACTCTGCTTCATTTTGCAGGAGATTTTCAATTTTAGGTTTCATTTTCTACCCTCGAACCGAAAAATCTGTCTTTTTCTTGATAGTGGGGATCGACTAAGTGTTGCCAAATATTTTCCCTAATAGCAAAATAAAATTTTATTTCTCTTGTTGATTTCATCGCTGGTAAAGTGCCATCGTTTTTGTCATTGGCAAACCATTGACCTTCTTCTGCTATTCTATTTATAGATCCCTATCATTAATCCTTGAACTTAACTTGGGGATCATTCACTAATTATGCATTTTTGTGTGGGTGCATAGTGGTCGAGAATCACAAATCTCCGTCACCTCAAAATTACCATCTCGGTTTTATTCAGTATATAAGAACTAGTTGAGATTTCTAATTGTAGGATTTTTTGCCTGTGGGGACCGTCCACGAATTGCATTAAAAAAATTTACATTTATTATTGTATTTCATTATTTTTAAAATTTTCAGTTCTCTTAAATTATATTATGAAAAAACTCGATAATATTTAAAGGCAAGATTTTAAAAGAGGTATGAAGTGAGGGGATTTTCATTATTTTATCATTTAGCTAATGCAGTAAAAATTCTTATGTTAATTCAGATTTGTCATTCCAAAAAACTTTTAATTTGATTTTAATACAATTGAAATAATAAATTCAATTATCTCGGATTTGTTAAACTTTATAATGTAGGAACCATATAATGATTTATTGCTGACAAGAATGTTTTGCTTCCTTATTGTATTACATTTCAAAATTATTGAATATTTCTTTTTTGTTTCATTGAGGAAATACTAGACAAAGTAACAAATTTTGCTAAAAAAATATTAGGCCTCTCAATAATTTACATTAGTAATATGAATTTATTAAACTTTCTTAGTCTGATTATTCTTTACTTTCATTCTTCAGTATGACCAATAATATTAATTCTGTTAATGTTTTGTTGAATATACTTTTATAAATAGCTTTTATTTAAATTTTAAGAAATACACCCGATAACTTTTTTAAATTATAGTTTGACTAATTATAATTTGGAATTAAAACTTGTCTCTTTCACATATTCAATTAAAGTAATTATTAATTTCAAAATAGAATTATGGACTCAATATTGAATATATTTAAAATTTTACATAAGTTATTTCTATGGTGAATAATATAATAAAAAAAATAGTTCTCTGTCAGAAACTAGCTATTTTATTAAGATCATGTGAAGTTTTTAAAAAATTTTTGGCATTTTGTAAATATGTATGTGTATTTACATATGAATTTTCAACAATAGGAAGGAAATTTTTGGCTGCTCAGATTTTCTTTTTAAAAAATTACTTAAAAATATTTTTTGAGTGCTTTAAATGTACCTATTTTTTTGTTTAAAAATTTAGTTATGCGCCTTGTCAAGATTAAGTATCTGAACCAAAAAAAAAGGAAAAAATAATTCATAAGCGAAGTTTGGAAAAAATTGTAAAGTAAGCATTTAATAAGTTTTCTCTTATAAATTTTTTTTTATTTGATTTGAAAATTATTATATACATTATAAATTACCCTTACATTAAATTATATAAATGTGCATGTGTATGTCTAATACATTTTAAAGTACATAATGCAACAAGATTGAAAAAGAAAATAAGCCATAAACAATTCCAAGTAAACCACCAACTGAAGGTGTGGTAATGCCTTTTGCTGACCTTGCCACGTTGGTCAGTATTTCCATTTTGTGTTCTTTGGTTTTTGGAAATTTTTATTTTGTGTAGTGTTTAGATGCTTAGTTATTTGCGTACCTGCCAAGTCTCTTTTTTTTATTATTGAAGACTCCTGTGTTTTACCACTATCTTCTCTTTACCCGTTTATTCTCCAATTTATCCTTATTTGTTGAAGAAATTTTTTAAACAAAAATTTTTCCCGTTAAAATAACCGTTTATGGCAAAAATACTTCTCTTATTCCTCAACAGATGGTGCTGTTGCCAGTACTGTAGTATGTTGAGTGTTTTATAGTTTAAGTAATTATATATAATGGTTTAAAAAAATCTTCTTTAGATTAAGATTTATATACATAATTGTTACTTAAGTAAATATAAGTGCTTATATTATTTTCAGTTTTGAATTTCTCTTTTTGACTTACGTGATTATGCATAATGTATCAAAGCTTTACTCATAACCTAAAAAATGTTACTAGTAAAATCTCCTGATCCTGGCAGATCCTGGGTTAGAGTCCCTTTGTTGTCAGGCTAACCATGGGACGACTTTGTGGTTTTCTTGTCCTTGTAACGCAAATGCGGGTTAGTTCCTTCAAGAAGTCCTCCACAAAGGTGCATTTCTCCTAATACTTGATCCAGAAGTTCACTTGTCTTCTGGATTCAAAATGACAAGGCTGGGGATTTGAACATTGGTAGTCGTGAAAAGGGTCGGCTGTTCGACGACAGTTATAAAATAAAATATTTTATGTTATTATAAATAATGTTTCTTTACATTAAGATTTATATACATATTTTTTACTTCGCTAAATGTAAGTGCTTACATTATTTCTGATTTTAAATATTTTTTTTTTGACAATCAAATGATGTTCATCATGATGTATCAAAACTTTACTCGTAGCCCACAAAATTTTGCTAATAAAATCTCCATTATTTCAGTTTAAAAAAATGTTGCTACCACTTTAAATATGTAATGTAAAATCTTTGGAATATTGGGAGGAATTGACAGTTATGGAAAATATAATTGAATTATTTTTATAACTATCTGTGTGCTGGATGACAATCGGCGATCGAAAAGGGCTACAGGTGGCGTTCTCTCTGCCCATAGCAACACTTTACATGCTTTCACCATTAGAGTCATAGAAGAAGGAAGTACGTTATTTTCTGTCTTGATTTTCATGTAAATATTAAAATCTTTTAAGTTGGATATTGAAAAGAGAAGGGCCAATGGCGTATTCGAGCGTTGCGATCGCCTATCAGGGATGAGATTCTTTCACGGATTTCCGCCTTTTCTCAGATTTTTCCGCTGAAATTGTTATTTGCACAAGTTAAAATATTTTATTAGGAATTTAATTTTCCGCGGAGCGAAACTATTGAAGTCTTCATTCCTCCATCTGAAGTTTCTCTAAAAATCATTTCCTTGGGATAAAACTGGTTGACCTTTATACAGGGATGAGGTTTTTTTCGCATTTGTCTCTCGAATTTCAGCCTTTTTATCAAAAACTCAGATTCTCTAAAAGTTTCGTTTTTTTTTATTTATTTATAAATATCCCGTTTTTTTTTTGTTTTTTTTTTTTTAAATTCAGTCG